AAAAAATCCAATCCATTCCTTCTTTGCATTTTCTTTTGCATTCTTGCATTCTTGGTGTGTGTCTATTCATCCCTTGTCGGAGGAATCAAGAGGCCGAAGCACTCGTAAAAAAGATCAACAACTAGACAGTGCCTTAAAGCCAAGATCATGTCAAAAAGCATAGCCCTAACAAGGGCATTCCATACAAGTGGTTTCATATAGCCACCAAGAAACAAAAGACATGTCAACAACAAGACGGGATAGAACCGGACAAGGAAGAATAATCAAGTCCACAAGCATGAAAAGGCCATCACGCCCTACTCCTCAATTGAATGAAGGATGATTCAAGAGAATGCCAAGACTAGGAATGGTTTCCTTACCAAAGCCAGGAGTGGCTTACAAAATAATACTCATCAATAAATATTAAGCAAATGACATCATCATGGGATGGGATCCCTCCACCAAAAAAAAAAAAAAACCTACCACAAGTAGACGCTTGGAGAGGCATCACAATACTCACATGGTAGGGGAAACACCAGAATTCCCATCACCCATCTATCACCCATCAAACAGGGGCACATCAAGTACATCTTGCCCATCCTCCTTGGGGCATTTTCCATCACAAGTCAACAACGAGGGTACCGTCGAGTACCTCAAATCAAAAAGGAATCACCATCTAGTAACCACCCAATATTTCAAAGGTCCTCCTTCAAAGGATATCAACAACCATCCAAGTTGAGAGCCGCCATTGAGCCGCTCAAATCATTCGGAGCTCGGGGGGCTAGTGTACTGTCCGTGCTGTGAAGTCGAGCTCCGAGCTCGACATCGCAACGCAAGATGACCTCGAGCACGCGCTACGCGACGTCAGCTCGGCATTTAAGTAGATCATAACTGATCTCAAGGGATCTCGCTCCAGACGAGATCCCTTATCTAATCTTATCATATCTTATCTCAAGATCTTATCATATCTTATCTCAAGATCTTATCATATCTTATCTCAAGATCTTATCATATCTTATCTCAAGATCTTATCATATCTTATCTCAAGATCTTATCATATCTTATCTCAAGATCTTATCATATCTTATCTCAAGATCTTATCATATCTTATCTCAAGATCTTATCATATCTTATCTCAAGGTCTTATCATATCTTATCTCAAGATCTTATCATATCTTATCTCAAGATCTTATCATATCTTATCTCAAGATCTTATCATATCTTATCTCAAGATCTTATCATATCTTATCTCAAGATCTTATCATATCTTATCTCAAGATCTTATCATATCTTATCTCAGGCCCAAGGCCCAAAGAAACCCTAATTCACACTAAGGTACGTGCATTACTTATATGAGATTCATACTCCCACAAACACTAACTTTGGCATCAGAGTCTCTTTTGCAGGTACCACCCCCATCTTGGAGCACCAGCGTACCCGCGAAGGAGGCTCACCAATCTTGCTCGGAAGACCGTCTCTACGACAAATTTCTGGTAAGAACAATATTTGTCTAACAGAAGTCACATCTTATGAATGCATATTAATTTTTTATTGTTAATTTTGGAACACTACATAGACTATGTTTATGAGCAAAAAAAATACTTCAAGGACCATGTAAAAAAATAAATTTCCAGAACAATCATGCTAAAATGTCATGCGATCAACATTTTCAATCCAATTTTGTTGATAATGATTTTGTTTTCTTTAAGCATTAGACTAGAAGTGAGAGTTGAACTCGATTTCATTCAACCGATAATATTTGGCTCAATTCCTAATTCGATTTGAGTTCGATATAAACTTTTTTTTCTAACTTGAATTCGTTCAAACTCATTAGTAACTCGATTCAAGCCATTAACTTAAATTATATGAACAAGAACTCAATTTTTTTTAATTTAAAAATAAAATTTAAATAAAATGATTATTTACTTTTTTAAAAAGACAAAACATAACTTATTATATGAACTATGTAAGATTACAAAATAAAATCTAAAGAAACACAAGTACAACTAAAGTTTCTTTTTTTGAGGGGAACAACTAAAATTTCTATAACATATAACTACTCCACTTTGAATAAAATAATAGAAATTCAATCCTTAACCATAAAATTTTAAAGTGCTCACTTTTTTATTATTATTATTAACTTATAACTAAATTTTAAAAATTCTTTTAAATTTTAACAAGATGAAATTAAATAAAAAATTTATATAAATTATAAATTTATATATTTATCCAATTCATAACTAAAAGAATATAATTACATAAAATTCAAGTTTAATTCCTTTATTTAATAAACACAGTCTTTTTTAATTTAACTCATTCGACTTGTAATCAAGTTCAAAGAATTAATTATTAAATCTAAGTTTTAATTAATTTTTTTTAGTTAGTTCGAGTATTAGCACCCTTAGAACATGTTTAGTCTATCGTTAAATTTTGTTAAATGGAGTAAACACACATTTCAAAGCACCAAACTAAGTAACATTTTATCTTTTCCGTTGAACGTGATTTTGTGAGTTTAACACGGTAAACCAAACACACTTAATCGTTATCCTAAGCCATGGAATTACGTGTAGACAACAATATCCCGTGTTCTGTTTCAAGTTGATGTTGAAACAATTAAAGTTTATGAAAGAAAGATGAAGAAAAAACTGAAAAGGAAAAATAAATAAAAAATAATTGTTTAGTTATTTAGTACCAAAAAGACCAAGAAAAAAATATTTATAATAACATATAAAAGCCTACATAAAAATAAGATATAAAAAATTAATTTGCACATGTTTTAAAAACGAAGAGTATAATGATAATTATTAATTTTTAATCTCGATTAATATAGTTCCCTTTATAAAAAAAATTGAAAATAAATTATTCTAGTAAAACCTACCACTATTTTCAATTCCTCCCTTTTCTTTAATACCAAAGAAGGAAGTTTAAAAGTATTGATAAGTGTCATCTCTAATAATAGGCTACAGATTGTCAATTGTTTCTAAAGTACATCCATGCTCTATTTGCGTAGGAAAATTAAGGCTTATAATAAAACTCCTCAGATAACATCACAATCGATTATCAATAATCGTAAAAAGCACTGACATCTTGAGGTTTTTTTAATTTTTTTAAGGGATAGAGTGGTGGGGAGATAGAAACTATAGAAGAATACAAGTACTAGATCCAATTTGGAAGAAAAAACTCTTGAAAAATGTTCATTACAACGATGAAAAAGCAGTACAACTATTAGCAACAAGCTCAACAAAATACAGAATGACGAGAATAATTTTAGCACTCTAGAAGACTAACTCATGGGGCTTCATTCCTGCCTTCAAAGAAAACCTAGCACCCAAGTAAGACTTCAGATCTGGAACACTCTCAATGGCCTTTAACAAAGCAGTGTCCACAGTTTTTTGGTCATCTTTCTTTTCTTGGGGAAGCACATTTTTCTCCTAAAATGAGAAGAATGATAATAGAGATCAGCATCACAGAAGCAATTCACAATAACAACGTAAATTCAACAACACAAGAAATTGGTAAAACCAACCTCCTTCTCTGCCTCAAAGAACTCGCCTTCTCCCTTGGTTTTCTTTTTCTTGGCTTCCTTGGCAAAGTACTTGTCATCAAATTTATCAACATTGACACCAGAGATATCCACCTTTGTAGATGTACCAATGACATATGATTGGTTCACCCTTCGGAGAGGAACTCCATTGATCTTAAAGGGACCTGAAATGGCAAAGCCATCAAGATGAGCATAAAGATCTTATCTAAATGAAGAATAAAGTATGAATCCCATAGCAAGGGACAATAATACTAAGTACTAACAATTCAAAATCAGAAACTAAGATCACAAATTTGTATTTAATTTTGAAGTTGAAAATATATCGTAGGCAACTTTCAATGACATAAAACTAGCATTTTCACAAAGAAAAAGGACCTAAAGTGACAATATTAACTCTTCAGTTTGGATAGTTTACTCTGTACAATCAAAATCTCACTGAAAGAGCCTTCAATTTTGTGGGGGGAACAATTGTTAGAGTTAAACATCATGTTTTGCAAAACACAACCAAGTATGTTGCAACAGCAAACATAAGAGGGAGTATTTGTAATGTAATTGGTAATCAATAGTAAAACAAGAACACATAGTAGAGCGATCAAACTAACTCAATGAAATATTAAAAACCACAACAAACGAAAGTGATCACCAACAAAGTTTATCATGTAAAAACTAATTGAACACAAAATTAATCTCATCACAAACCTGTTACAAGAAGCAACCCAGATGGAAGCTGCTTCAGGAAAACAACCCTCTTTCCCTTGAATCTCCCAGCAAGCAAGATCAAAACTGTCCCAGGAGTAATACTAGCCCTGCAGACCAAAGCAAATCCAATTTCAGAACCCACTTATTAAAACAAGACATTAAAATTCATAAAGATTAAAAATGTTTATTGAAAATAGACCAGTTAATCAACCCAATCCCAATTTTCAAGCTAAAAAAACACACAAAATAACAAAAATTAAAAATGCACCTCATAACTAACTAGTAACAAATCATTAAATCACAAAATATTAAAAATACCCCTCATAGCTAACAAGTAACAAATCAAATTATTAAAAACACACATACACAAATTCGAGAAAGCATCCATTGTTTCACATTTTCTAACAATAAAACCTTTAAAACAACATTTAATATAAAAAAATATATATAAAAAAAAGAGAAAAACACCCGAACATTCAAATTAAATGGCAAAAACAAATTAAAAACACACATACACCCAAGATTAATTTAATCAATTACAAACTAGCATCAAATTGAGTTTACTCGAGTCTGTACCTCATTCCACTTTCTAATCATAAAACCACTAAAACAAACAACACCCATTACATCTAACAGATCAAATTATTAAAACACAAAAAATGTTCACTTCCTCATTGAACACCTAGCGTTAGTATATTGACTTAAGCCCAATCTCGCCTCATTCCATCCACATACACAAGCTTCAAAATAAATAATCACAAAAAACACATTTTTTTTTAACATTCTCTAACCATTGAACCACAACAAAACCTTCCTAGCTAAACAATCAAACTATTAAAAATCCACACGCAAGTTTCATTTCGCCATCTAAAATCCCACATCACATGACTTGATTCCAATCTGCACCTCATTTCCCAAAAAAAAAACATTTTTCCAGATTCTCTAACCATAACAAAATCACCGAAACAAAAGCAGCCATCACAGCCAACAAATCAAACCATCAAACAAACACACACACACGTGTCATATAAAAAACGAATGCGGTCAAGAGTGTCGAAGCAAGCACCTGAGTTTGGCTGGCTTAGGCTTGTGCTTGTTGACGAGGGGTCTCTTGACATCGTCGGCGGGGTAAAACTTGGGCGGCTTCTGGGCCGGAGCGTGGGGCTTGGGCTTGGGATCGTGACGAGGGAAAGCGCCACCGTGCTTGGCCTTGATGGCCCAGATGCCCCTCTTGTGGTACATCTGCGACCTCGAGTACTTCCCGATTCCCCTGATCAATTCGGGGTTCCTCGTCACTCTCGGCTTCTTCGGCGCCATTGCTTCTGCTCTGCCTCTTTCTCCTCCTTCTGCTTCCGCTCATGCAAAACCCTAACACTCGTTATATATGTAACCCAAACGCACCGTTTTGATAGGGTTTATTGGACTGGGCTCTCTTAAAATACTCTCATTCTCTCCACATGGACATAATCCAGGTCCAGCCCAGTTTATATTTTTTTTTCAATAAAATATACATTGCATTATTTTTCTAATTTAATTTTTTTATTGTAACGACCCGCCATGACCGTCACACTACGAAATAACACTACACACTATTGGAATATAAATACTAAAATAGTATAATAAAATATTTACAATACAAGTTGTTAATCAAGCAACCAACAACAATCAATTATATACAACAAAGTATGTTACTATAAGGTAACCTACAAAAAAAAATTCATCTTCAGGCACCTCCTGTGGCCTCTAGCAGTTATATCCCAGCCTATCCCTGCCCTGCTCCCATACAACGTATGATCATTGCAGTCCAAACCACATGAAAACATGCAAGGGTAAGCTAGAGACAATAAACAACTCATAAATATCAAAAATGAAACACAAATATATAATCATCTTCACATCCGACACAAAAGATAAACAACACATATATTATACATCTTAACATCATTTCAACTTGATTCCTCATATCAACGTCGTATCAACACCTCAACGCAACTTACAATATAACAGCACTATCATCATCCTCAACAGGATCAATATACAACACAATCACAACTTAACAATATAATAACATAGATACAACTCTTATCAACAACAAATCAACTCATCAACAACTTATGCGTCGTCACGCATTTCAACTCGGAGATCTCCAACAACTGAGGTTGAGTAGTATAGGTGGCATAAACCCTACCGAATCCAGTGTTTGACCTATCTCAACCAGGTCAGGTATAGAACAGCATTAGGAACTCCGAAGAGAACCAGATATAGACAACAATAGGCGATTGCTCAGGTGTGCCACTTAGACTTGGAGGTCCAGTATTACTGTCAAGACAGAAGGGTTTAGGTATGAGCCTACTACGGCCTTGGCTAGCATCACCAATCCACATATGGAGTTAGCCCACCCACTGTCCTCCAAGTACCACGCACCCTTCAGTACCTAGTCAAAGACTACATCTATAATTAGATACATTACTCAAATTGGTCATCCAACCATGACATGGATCGACTATTTCCATGTCCGCCACACAGTATTAAGGGATTCAACTTTAAAACAACTTTCAACTTATCACCTTAGTACTATGTATCTCAACATAGGACATATATCTTCACCATATGTCCCCAACTTTCCAACTTTACAACAATAGGTAGCTTATCAACTTTACAACAATAAATATCTGGCCACTTGTAATCGGTATAGCTCGGTCTGGCCCTTATACCGTGGTCGCTTTGTACACGTGTGCCTCGACCTTGCCCACACATGGGATCAACAAAGTCCTGGAGGAGAACAACACAACGTCCACTCCAAGGGACAACTTTCTAATGAGGGTTTTTCAACAAATTGGGCTCTCAGAGCACCACAACTATCTCAATCCACACAATGGGATGAGCAACTTCGAAAACATCTCCCCTAGTCCTAGTGTTCAGCAACTCATCATTATGGCTTAATCAGCTTAACAACTTAAACAACATACAACTTTTTAACTCATCATCTCAATCAACATTCAACTTGAACAACATAGTTTTCAGCACAACAACTCATCAACATTGTTTAGTAACACATTTTAACAACACAACGTCTCATTTCAACTTCAAACAACACAATCAACTCAACAGCTTATTAGCTCAAATCATAATTTACAACTCAATCATCATACAATAACATCTATATAAATCACACATCTACGCACTTCACATCATGCTTCTCACAACTCACAATATTATCATCGTGCACTTCACAACTTTCAATTATATCATCTCATCATGTTTCACAACTTAAACATGTCCACACATAACATATAGCAACTTTATCAACTTAATTTCAACATGCTTCAACAATATCATATATCAACACACAACTTGTAAACAACTTCACTATACTCAACTTGCATCTTTTCATTTCACTTTCTACTCATCATACATCCAATATAATTATACAACTCCATATGAGTTCCTAAACTCACATACAACTAGGGATGGCAACGGGGCGGGGCGGGTACGGGTTTCATGATACCCGTCCCCGTCCCCGCAAGTTAAACTCATCCCCATCCCCGTCCTCATACCCGTCGGGTATAGATTTTCATCCTCATCCCCGTCCCCGTCGGGTATCGGGTATACCCGTACCCGTCAATTTTTTTATTTTTTATTTTTTGTAAAAAAAAATGATATTTTTAAATTATTTTTTTTATTATATTATAATTATAATTAGGTTATTTCTTTATCTCATATTATAATAAATAATCACACATAAAAAATATTAAAATTTTTTAATATAATTAAATTGAAAGTGAATATTAAATTAAAAATGAGAACGGGGACGAGCCCCGTACCCGTACCCGTACCCGGATATTCCCCGTCAAAGTCGGGACGGGTTCAAGTATTACTTGCGGGTACGGGTATATTTGTCATCCCTACATACAACCAAACAACATACAATCTAGCTTCCCTTACCTGAAGATTGGCTCAGAATAGCCAAGAACTGAGAAGAAGTGAAATTTCCTTTCTGAAGCTCAACCCGGGACTTCAATCCACCCAAAGCAAGCTTCCTAGTCTAGAGTCCTTCCCTCTAAAACTTCTCTCTAAAAACCTCTTCTTCTCCTCAACTGCATAACCTCTATTTATAGAAGTCTGAACTAGCCAGAACGGCCCGTTCCAAATCCGACACGGCCCGTTCCAAATCCGGAACGGCCCGTTCTAAGCTCCTTCATCATATGTAAAATTCACATGTAGAACGGCCCGTTCTGAAATCGGAACAGCCCATTCTGGCACGTCTAGAAAGGCCCGTTCTAAAACTGGAACGGCCCGTTCTAAAACCGGAACGGCCTGTTCTGGAGTTGAATTTAACTCACAATGACCACTTTGGAACGACCCGTTCCAGTCCGATTTATAGGCCTCTTTAGTAGTTTGGAACGGCCCGTTCCTGTTTGGGAACGACCTGTTCTAGACTACTAAATCACCCTTGTTTTAGTAGTTTGGAACGACCCATTCCAATCTAGGAACACCCTGTTCCAGTCTACTAACTACGTTACATTTATAGTATATATATATGAGTTAATTACCTATACATTATCGATGTAAAGTTTTTTACACTGGCAACCAATTATATCCTTTAATTGTGTCATGTCACTGTATTTATAGTGACATGGCACAGTTAAAGGATATAATTGGCTGCTAGTGTAAAAAACTTTATACTAGCAGTGTATAAGTGATTAACTATATATATATATATAAGAGGATCAAATTATAATATTTATTTAAAATTTAAATATTAAATTAATTAAGATAAATATATATTTGTTTCTCCTTATATTTTATAAAAAAAATGATACAAATAATTACTTAATTTGGTGTTCAGTGATCTTAATTTTGAGTGAAAATCAAAAATATATATTTTTAAAAATAAAAATATCAAATTTCTTCATTTTAAAATAAAATAATTAAAATTACTTTTAGGAAAAAAAAAGAACAAAAGTGCAATTCAATATTATACAATAGCTACTATCAATATATTATAATCAATAGTTAACATTTTTATTTTATTATTAATATTAATATATGTTTATTCGTTGAAATTGGGAGTCAAGGTTATTGAAATTAAATCTTTATTAATTTCTGTAAAATGTAAATTTGATTAAGCTAACGGTTATATTTGATATTCTTACCAAACAAATATAATAATTAAGATGTTTACAATGAGTATATTTTGACAAATTTATCAACTACGTCTTTAAATCTTATATATATATGATAATTATATTACTAATTTTTATATATATTTTTAAGACTACGTTATCAAGTGATTAAAATAATATATATATATATATATATATATATATAT